GGCTAGATCCTAAACCCTAAGAGGAAGACTAGACTTCACTAAAAATGAGGTCAACACCAACTTATCCACAACAGTTTCTGCTCAGCAACTTTCTAGGGCAATTGCCCCAAATAGACCCTTAGTGTGTAAGAAGATATATATGCGAAAAAATAATGTCGGGTGCTTTTGCCACGTGGAGACGCATGTTGCCATGTGGTTGGGCGATTTTTGTCAGTTTATGTGGAGACACATGTCGCTACGTGGCAAGGCGATTTTGTTGGTTTTGCAAGTTTTATTTTTAATTTATCATTTTTTAAAATTTGTTTCAAATTCATAATAATTTTCTAATTTCACCTTGCATTTCTATCTATTAAGTTTTTATTGGTTGCTATAAGAAACTTTTTAGGATTTAGATATACTAATATCTTATAGCTTTATTTTAATTGGCATATTTTCACTTCATGGCAACTATAGACTTATATAATTGTCATGTGTAAGAGCCAATTTTCTACTAATACTTTTATGTAAACGGGCAAATGATGCACATGACTAATGTGATATGAGGTCATGAAAAATACTGAAACACTTATATGCATCCTAATGAGCATTAATGAATGAATTGTAGCTAATTCATAAATGAAGGGTTGAAAAATATTTTACAACTGATAAAACACATAAATATGATATGATTGTATGGACGGACTTTGTCACAAGTTTTTATCATTATAAACATATTTACACTAAATCTGAAATTAAAAACTCCTGAATAGAAAGTCCTAGAAAAATAACTAAATTGAAAAGCAATCTTCGATTTATTATTATTTCCAACTTGATTTAGAAGTTTGCATTTCTGATCAGTATAGACTTTTAGCTCTCCATCACTTGATCTCCAGCTGGTTCTGAGAGATTTATCAATCCATCATGTTGATTTTACATTGCAAAAGATGAAGATTGAATATCATCTAAATATTTTCATCAGCTATTTATAGCTGCTAAGTGATAGAAGGATTCAGCTTGGTGCTAGTACTTTTTAACTTTAAATAGTAATATTTTGGTTTGCGCTTTCTCTTTAGATAAGAGCAAGTAAACGATAATGTTTTACTTTAAACATATTAAAAGATGGCTCAATTTTCTCATGAAATCCTTCCCCAATTTTTGGAAGACAAAACTGTAAGAAAATTATAGGTATCCTTGTTAACTTATGATAACCTATATTCTATTAGTCAATAAAGTTATATTTGGAGCTTTTGCCTGCTTTTCAGAGCTGTAGAATTCAAGATTTAGTCACTGCTCAATCAGCATGAATTTGTTCTGATTGGCGCAAGCTATTGTACTAAATTCACGAATATATTTCTCTGTCTTGGATTATTAAAGTTTTCAATATAAAGTTTAGGAGATATTATAACATGACGGTCTAGGAGATATTATAATATGAGTGTTAATTGATCCTCATTTCTGTTCTTCGCTTGAAGGATTAAATGCGGTTCAGAATGCAGGGAGTCACTCAGAATGTCTATCCCAGCATGATTTTGAAGGCGTTTCCTATGTTCAGATAATACAAACTGAATTTGAAGATGAAGCTGTTATTAAAATTGGTGCAATGCAAAGAGCCAATTCCACGATTGAGGATTTTGTAAGTAAATTTTTAAACACATAAATGTGAGAATGCATGCAAACACACTATATATATACTTACATATAGGTGTGTTTGCTTGTCTATATATATTTGCATGTGCATGTGCGTGCATGCATTTAATTTAGCTGAGTTTGATTTTACGAGTTTAAATCAACTCATGAGCCAACAACCTGTTTATTATGATATACATAAGATGATTGAAATTCATGTAGTTGTTGTGATAAATTGAAAAAATAGAATAGAAATTTGAGTTCAAACAATAAGAAGTCATTTGAGATAACAAAGTAAGATAATTTTTTAAATGTTTTTAACAGCTCCATATTTAAATCCTTGCATTGTCATATAATTTTAGTATTTTTTATATTAGGGGAATTTACATACACAACACCCAATTCTTTTGCATTT